TCCCTGTTCATATGGATCTTCACCAAATCCAAAACACCGGGAACTTCGCCGCAATTACCGCCTGGACCGCGGGGGTTTCCGGTGGTCGGAAGCCTCCCGTTCCTCGACACCGAACTCCACACCCACTTCCAGGCCCTGTCCCAATCTTACGGTCCGATTTTCAAACTCCGTCTCGGCTCGAAACTCGCCGTCGTCGTCAGTTCCCCGACATTGGTCCGGGAGATGTTCAAAGACCAAGACATCACCTTCGCCAACCACGACGTCCCCCTCACGGCACGAGCCGCCACGTACGGCGGAATCGACATCCTCTGGATGCCGTACGGTCCTGAGTGGCGCACTCTTAGAAAGGTATGTGTACTCAAGCTTCTCAGCCGTCAAACGCTAGATTCGTTCTATGAACTCCGGCGACATGAAATCCGACAGAGGGCGAGGTATCTCTACGAACAGGCTCGAGAAGGGTCGCCGGTAAACATCGGAGATCAGATGTTCTTGACGCTGTTGGATCTAATGGTGAACATGTTGTGGGGGGAGACGCTGAAAAGGGTTGATGAAATGGCGAATCTTGGAGAAGAGTTCAAACAGGTGATTGCAGAGATTGTGAGATTACTGGGCGAGCCGAACGTGTCGGATTTCTTTCCATGGCTGGCAAGATTCGATCTTCAAGGGCATGTGAAAGAGATGAAATTATCAGCTCGGAAGCTTGATGAGATGTTCAACCGAGCTATAGAACAATGTCAGAGAGTTCGAGACGATGGTAATGGAGATTGCAAGGATTTTCTGCAGCATCTGTTGAAGCTGAAGGAAGAAGGTGATACCGAAGTTCCCATAACCACGGACCACATCAAAGCCATGCTCATGGTAATGTTTCTTTCCCATCATACATGACATGAACTTTCCTTATCTATATATACATTTATATGTATATGATGAGATTTGGACAGGATTTGGTGACGGCGGGAACGGACACGTCGTCGAACGTGGTAGAGTTTGCAATGGCGGAGCTTATAAACAGACCAGAGATTATGAAAAGAGCACAGCAAGAACTGGATGAAGTAATAGGCAAAGACAACATCGTGGAAGAATCTCACATCAGTAAGCTCCCATACTTGCTCGCTGTCATGAAAGAAACCCTAAGGCTTCACCCTACAATACCTCTGTTAGTTCCTCACTCCCCAACTGAAACCGCCATTGTCGGAGGATACGTCATCCCCAAAGGCTCTAAGGTTTTCGTCAATGCATGGGCCATTCACAGAGATCCGAACATTTGGGAAAACCCACTAGAGTTTTACCCCGAAAGATTCCTCGATGAGTCGTTTGATTTCAGCGGGAACGATCATAGTTTCATACCGTTTGGATCCGGCCGTAGAATATGTGTCGGAATATCATTGGCGGAGAAGATGGTAATGTACAGTCTTGCAATGCTTTTGCACTCATTCGACTGGAAGATTCCAGAAGGAACGAGATTTGATATCGAAGAACAGTTCGGGATTGTGTTGAAGTTGAAGAATCCTCTTATTGCAATCCCCATGCCGAGGTTGTCCGACTCAAATCTTTATATGTAAAATACATATGATTGTTATATTCTTAAAAAGTTATTAAAAGGTTTAATATAATTCCCGAATTGGAAAATATATTGGGAAAATCCATTTTGTTTTGATATTTTTCAATAATTTACAAAAATTGTAAAGACAAACATATCTTATGAACCTTCAAAAAGTTTCGAAGTCGGCGAATCCACAGCCGGCGGTGGTCTGGGCATCGTTCAGGTGAGGGAATTGCCCATATATATAACCATATCTATGGAGTATCGATCACTGGGTCGAGATTCTTCACCGTGTATGGACCTTGGGGGTAGACCAGACATGGCGTGTTTCTTTTTCACCGAGGATATATATATACACACACACTCAAGGACAAAACCATAACCGTGTTCGAATGGCCTGACAAGGGTAGTGTAGGTAGGGATTTCACCTACATTGATGATATTGTGAAGGGTAGTTGGATACTGCTCAGAAGAGTACAGGGAGTGGAGGCAAAAAGAAGGGTCCTGCACAGTTTAGAATCTACGATCTGGGAAACACTTCGCCAGTTCCTGTAACTAAGCTTGTGTCCAGAAGCTGCTGAAAACAAAAGCTAGGAAAAAGGCTACACCTTTGCCGAGGAATGGGGACGTGGAGTTCACCCGAGCGAACATAACATCAGCGCAGGCAGAGCTCGGGTATAGACCCACGGCAGATCTTGAGACGGGTCTGAAGAAGTTTGTCAAAAGGTACTTGAATTTCTACACAGGCTCCAAGAAAGAAGGGTTCTTGGTGAGATTTTCACGAATCTCGGCGTTAATCAGCAGAGGTGTTTGTTTCTGGGTGTCTGAGTTATGATTCTGATTCCCTTCGAGCTCGGTGTTTGGTTTATCTCCGAGCACTTGTATGTCGAGGGAATCATCTGGTGGTTACCGGAAGAAAGCTCGAAGGCTTTCTCGACAGAAGCTCATTATTTTGCATGGGAACCAGCTGCCAAACTCTTGCCTCATCTTTTTTGGTTGGTGGATTTTGAGAGTTCATGTATAGCTTTGTCTTTTAGACCCATGTCTGAATAATAAATTTGCAAACTTTGTTGCAGATCACTTGCTTTTAGATCACCAGACTCCACAACTGTATTCCAAAGCTGCAACTTAAGCTTCAGAACTATATCCAGATTCATCAAAACAGCAAGTCAAGTTTCTGCAACTTCAGTTCCATGAGGAAAACAACATGTTCTGACTTGAGAATAAACCACTCAGTATACTGCAACAATGTTTTTCAATCCCTCCCATTTGTGAAGATCGCTTGTTCTTTCTACTTCTGGATCCCTCCATCTTTTGATCCTCGCTATGCTCATCATGTAACAATCCAGAGTTCATACAAGGAATTTGACCAGAGATCCACATTGGTTCTGCATAGTTCAGGCAGAGGCTTCATCAACCTAGAAGCAAGTTTCTTGCTCAACAATGGGAAAGCACGAATCATCGTAAATTGCTTCTTGTGAAGATCCTTTCTTCTTATCCATCTTCACCACAATCCTCATATTTCTCCTCGCATGGAATTGAACTTCCATCATTGTCTTCATCATCCATCTCCCACCAAGCACCAGCACCAGTCATCTCCCATGAATCCAACCCAGCTCCAGTCTCAATCTCCTCACCATCATCATTGAACTCGCAATCCCAAACATGGCTAAAGCCTCTCTCTTTCATCTTCTCCTTCTCCATGACCGGATCATACGTCCACTCCAACTTCTTCAACACATCCCTATCCTTCCACTTCCCAACAACCTTATCCACCTGCTTCTTCGCCTTCCCTATCACCACCTCCTTCCATGAAAACCCTACATCTGCCACTCTCTTCAACGCGCCATCGTTCAAATCCCCCACCACCACTGTCCTCACACACCTCTCCTTCGCTTCCCTCAAGATTCCGGCAAAACCCGAATCATCAGACACAAGAACCACACATTCCACTTCCCTCTTGTCCATTACATAGATCATATGTTCCTTCAACGCCTTATCTGCGGCTTCTGGGTTATCGCTCACCTCTTTCACCCTAAACCCACCTCTTTTCAGCTCTTCCGCTAACCCGTAACCCTCCTTCGGCGTCAAAACCTTCCTCGCCGCTCTTTTGTACTTGTCCATCTTCATGGTGTACTTCCCGACCAATCTCACCCTCCTGTTTCCCTTCGCCGATTCGATTTGTCTCAAGCGTTTCTGGTTCTCCGTCTCGTGAATCTGCCGGAAATGGTTCACGAGCTTGTCGTTCGAGTAGAATCTCCTGCCGCATACGCCGCAGAAGTAGGGTTCCGGCGGTTGGATCAAACCCTTGTTCTCCATTTGGTTCAGAACCTTCCTCTCTTTCCTCTGTTCGCGGACCGCCACGGGGACGTATTTGAAAGCGTGATGATTTGCGTAAGCCACCATCTGCTTCACGAAGCCGAACGACGCCGCGGTGGCTCGGAGCTTGATCGCCGCCTCGTATGGCGGAAACGAGGCGGGCGGTTTGTTGTCCAGATCCCAGAAAACGGCCACGCGTGAAATGGGTTTAGGGTTTATCGAGCTTAAACCCTTGATTGAATCGGAATGGCTGTTTCTGCAAAATTCGAGAACAGGGTTTGTAGTTTTTGGCCTCGAGGATCTCTGCAGAAATCTGGAAAACATTGCCGGCATCTGAAAATCGACGCTGAGGAAGAAAAAAAAATGGGGAGGAGATGAAATTCGTCAACTTTATGAATTACTAACAAAAATTTATTCAATTATTCCGCTGATACAATTCAAAGATACCATCCAACCCCGCTAAAACCCTCCTTATCATTCAGAGGTTCACATGTAAACAGCCGAGTTGATAAATAACCTTTTGAATTATGTGGACCTTGAAGGTGCTAACTTTGTGTAACCCAGATCGACCAGCTTTCTGATCAACACTTTCTCTGCATTTGCCTGTAAAACCAAACAAACAGTAAAATCGGAAAACAGGGTTTTGTTCCAAGACGTAAAGAAAAATGTATTGAAGCAAATGAAAGGAACCTCAAGCAAAGAACTGCAAAGAGCAGAACAAGAAATAAATCCAGATTATCAACACAAGACCAGAGAACATGATCATCAACAGGATGAAAACAATTACAAACCCTGAATAAAGTCAGGCATCAGAAGAATTGCATAGCAACCAAGAGCAATAAATCTTGTGAACCATCTGTAACATACCCTGAATAACAACAATGATTGATCAGAACTCGTCTTCGATTCTAGCAGGAGAGAGTGAAAACCCAGGCGAAAAGAAGCACAGATTGGCGGAACTCAGAACTCGACGGAGAGGAGAAGCTCGGCTTCGATTCCAGCAGCAGAAGCAGAGCTCCCCGCCAACGGAGAGGAGAAGCTCGGCTTCGATTCCAGCAGCAGAAGCAGAGCTCGATGCCGATGGAGAGGAGAAGCTCAGAACTTGACGGTGCTGGGCGGAAACTCGAGACTGCAACAGAGAGACGAAGCGGAGAGTCTGAGGATTCGAGCTCGAGACTACAACAGAGCAGACGACGCCGATCGGTTATTTATCCGAACCGAACCGATCCGATCGGTTTTTGGACAATGGTAACCGATCGGTTATTTCTACAACATCCGAACCGAACCGAAAACCGATTAATCGGATTGGTTTTACCCGAACCCGATTAACCCGATCTGTTTGCCCAGCCTTAGTTGCAAGCCATGATGATACAGTGATACTGAGGCCAGTCTTTAACACTGCGGTATAAAACAGCCAAAAATTATCTCGATCCCGACCAAGTTTATCAGTAAAGAGAGCGGTTGCTGTCGGGTCCGGCCAAACCGATCCGAATAGATTCTCGAACAATGGAAAAAGGGTTCGGCCAAATTTTTAAAACCCAAAACATGGAAAATGTATTTTCATAAACCATCTAAAATGGAGAAGAAAAGCTACAGACCAGATGATGGAAATACCCAGATCAAAACTTCGCAGAACCCAAATCAACAGTGGAGACGATTAAAGAACCGAGATTCCGGGAAAGCCAAAACAGAGAAGAAGAGACGTAGGGGGATCTTGGTTCGGCCAAATTTTTAAAACCCAAAACATGGAAAATGTATTTTCATAAACCATCTAAAATGGAGAAGAAAAGCTACAGACCAGATGATGGAAATACCCAGATCAAAACTTCGCAGAACCCAAATCAACAGTGGAGACGATTAAAGAACCGAGATTCCGGGAAAGCCAAAACAGAGAAGAAGAGACGTAGGGGGATCTTGTGGAGAGGGACCTGAGACTTGAAGAAGACGCCTTTCACGGCCGATCGGAGCTCTTACACATCCGATCCCCGGATTGATCGAATCCAATTATTGATGTTATGTGTCTTTTGGTTCTGGGAAAATCACTTAAATGAACACTTTGGGTCGCACCTGAAATAGGTGTACACCACCAAAAAACATAATACATTTTTTTTCTTTGAACAGACGAAAATACCCTTAATGAATACACAATATTTATCCGTTCGAAAACAACTTCGTTATTACGACTTCGTAATTAATTCTAAATATAGTTACAATTGATTCTAAAAAAAGTGGCAAAAAAATCATCTATCTTATTTTAATTGTATATCAGTTATATGTTAGTCGTAATAAGATCGTAAAAAATAAAACAAAAAGGGTATTTCGGACTTTTTCAACCGAAAAGTGGGTTAAAATTGAAATTTTTTTTTTGTTCGGTGGTGTACGCTGAAATAACTGACACGCAAGTGGGTTATTTGGGTAAAAACCCCTCTCGTTCTACGGTCTCCCTGACAAACAAATGCACAATATTCTCCTTTCATTTTGTCAATTTGAAAATCCGGGGTTAAATATGAATATGTATACATATGGGGATATATATGTAAGTATTAAGTAAAAAGAGGGCTCATGTGAAATATTAGAAAAAGGGGGAAACGAAACGAAACAAGTCTGCCTCTGTGACTCTCGCCGACGGCAAGCTTTAGGGTTTTGAAGACATATCTGCCGTGAGCTCGCACTCTCCCTCTTCCTCGGGACGGCCCCATCGTCGCTACCCAATGCAAGTCTCTCTCTCTCTCTCTCTCTCTCTCTCTCGATCTCGATGCTAAAGTTTAAGTTTTTCTGGGAATTAAGAGGTTGTGTGATTAGGAACTAATGTGACGTTTTGAGCAGTTTACTCTTTGTAATGGAGTTTGGCCGTATATCTATCTATATGTGTGTTTCTGGTTCGAAAATCTTAAGTGGTTCACTCTATGCCCAGAAAGTTGAAAACTTTCTGGATCGTAGCTTGAACCGGTTGGCCATACCATGTTCTGGCTGTCACCCATATAGTGTATCTATATACGGCTGGTTCTTCTGCTTATACTGGAAAGCTGCTACATTTAAGATTACCCTTATCGTTTTGTTCAAATCATTTGTATTTTTCTTGATTGATTTCGGCTTTTTGCTTCACCTGATCCTGCATTCTATGTTTGCACCATCTGGGTTGTTCTTCTCTGTGCAGCCTGTGGAAACAAAATGAAGAAAATGATAGCTCTAGGGTTCGAGGGATCAGCCAACAAGATCGGGGTCGGGGTTGTAACTCTAGACGGTACAATCCTTTCCAATCCTCGTCATACGTACATAACCCCGCCTGGGCATGGGTTCCTTCCGCGAGAAACAGCGCAGCACCATCTCGAACATGTTCTTCCCTTAGTCAAATCAGCTCTGGAAACCGCCCAGATTTCTTCCAAAGACATCGACTGTCTCTGTTACACAAAGGGTCCAGGAATGGGAGCTCCACTGCAGGTCTCAGCCATTGTTGTTAGGGTTTTGTCGCAGCTGTGGAAGAAGCCTATCGTTGCCGTGAATCACTGTGTGGCTCACATCGAGATGGGAAGGATAGTAACTGGGGCTGATGACCCGGTTGTTCTTTACGTGAGTGGTGGGAACACTCAGGTGATTGCTTATAGCGAAGGTAGGTATCGGATATTTGGAGAGACGATTGATATCGCTGTCGGGAACTGCTTGGATCGGTTTGCTCGGGTCTTGAAGCTGTCTAATGACCCGAGCCCTGGTTATAACATCGAGCAGGTAACTCCGTTTCTGGTAACCCGAGGCTACACTATATATACCCGAGTTAACAACAATGATCCATCGGAGCGGTCTTTTGTTGTTTTTCTGCCAGCTTGCGAAGAAAGGAGAAAACTTTATTGATCTTCCATACGTTGTCAAAGGAATGGATGTGTCGTTTAGCGGAATCTTGAGTTATATCGAAGCTACCGCCGAAGAGAAGCTCAAGAACAATGAGTGCACCCCAGCAGACTTGTGCTATTCCCTTCAAGTAAGCTGTTACTGTCCATTTCTTTCCTTAAGACAGCCTTATTCTCTTACAACATCGTTTTAATAACTCAGAAATCGCTTAATCTTTTAACATTTCCAGAAATTCTGCACCTAAAACTTGATTTTGAGTTGAACAACCAGAGCATTTGGTTTTGAAGTACTCGGATTTCCGTTCTTTTCAGCATAGAAGGATGTTTTCTATCCCATATGCCTCTGCTGGTGTGGAAATATGCCATCCTAAATCAAGAAACCTCGCATCTTCAGTGATAAACCGAGAAAAGTTCACTCTGAGTATCCCAAGGATCGAAATCATATAGAAATTATACTGGTTGCCCAGGAAAAGAGTCTAACATGAGAATGATTTATTGCCAAGTAGAAGGTTCAGTTCTTGTAAGAACTTGACAGCTTCAGTGTCATCAAGACCAGAAACCAAAGATTAGATTCTTGAAAGATCGTACATTATCATACACGCACATTCACATTTGTGTGTGTATACAACTTTTGCAGGAGACGTTGTTTGCGATGCTGGTGGAGATAACGGAGAGGGCGATGGCTCACTGCGACAAGAAAGACGTTCTGATAGTGGGAGGCGTCGGCTGCAACGAGCGGCTGCAGGAGATGATGAGGACGATGTGCTCAGAACGCGGCGGTCAGCTTTTCGCGACTGACGACCGCTACTGCATCGATAACGGAGCGATGATCGCTTACACTGGCCTCCTTGCGTTTGCAAACGGAGTTTCCACGCCGCTGGAGGAGTCTACGTTCACTCAGCGGTTCCGAACGGACGAGGTGCACGCCATTTGGAGAGAGAGCAAAGCATGAAGAAGACAGATAATAACGTTGTCGCGTCTTGAAAAGGAGAACGAACAATACTTGCCGTGTTTATTTGTAAAATTATATCCATTTTTCTGTATCCATTTTGAGAATTGATTTTTGTTTTTTTTTTGTTTGTCAGTGTTAAATTCAATATAGAAAATTCCATAACCATACGTCTAAATGTATTAAATAAATATTTAAATTTCAAAATTGTTATTCAATTTGATCAATTCATACCAAATAAATTACAAATCCATAACTTTGTTAGTTGATGACTATATCAATTTGTAACAAATAGATATCAAATTGACATCCATCAATTTAAAAATTAAAATATTTATATTACATATTTAGACAAATTTTCATATTTTTGTAGAATTTTTTCAATTCAAAAGGGTTTTTTTAGAGACGAATAAGATTTTTTTTAATTAAGTGCTTGATTCGGATTATATTTGTAGTTTTTGTTGTTTTTTGATGTACGTATTCTTCAACCGGCCGGTTTGAATTAGATTAATTAAGGAAACTTGTATCAAATGGGTTCAATATTAAATTATCTTATTAGATTTAGTGGATTTGTATTTGCATAGAAAGACATGTTGGAACATTCTTTTTGAAAGTTCAAATTATTTACTTTTTTGGGTCCCCTAATTTAATAATTGTATGGTAGAGGCGATATTTTCTACCGAGATTGGCGGAGATATTTTATCATTTTTATTATTATTACTACTGTTATTAGATGATGTGCAGCATTTTCAATTTTGGGCCGCATCCAATAACATGGTGGATAAGAGGGAGATTTGCATAGCAATATAAAAATTAATTTTAATTACAATAAATATGTATACATGTCTATGTCATCGAATACACATATCTATCCTAGAACTGTTATCACATTATCTCGTTAATCTTGATAAGTTAATAAATTATATTTTGAATTTTATATATGCATGTAGACATATCTTTTTAGGAATCTGTTGCATAAATTATAAAAAAATAATATGAATTTAAAAAATTGCAACTTTCACTTGTGATATAGTCGTTTTAGTGTGTGTGTATAAAATATTGGCTGAAATAGCATACCTTAAAATATTTTAAATTTGATTATAACTTTACTGGATTTCACATTGGATTCCTCTATTGGTCAAACCTCCATTTTTTCAAACCCCAAATTAGGTTTCCCACCCACGTTCTAATAAATAATATATATTTTTTGGCACAATAATAAAGATTTAAAAAAATTGTATTAAAAGTACTCATTGTGATAGTTAATGATATGCTTTAGGATATATGTGTAAGTATATATGCATATGCATGTGCGATAAAGAAACAAAGGGTGGTGATGATTGGGATTTTATGCAATTTGCATGCAGAGCCCATTTCGTATTTTTTTTATTTATATCCAAATCTCGAAATGATTACAAAAACCAATTAAAAGCCAACATCAACCCTCCACTTCTAATGTTACATCGTTTTCTTTCATAAAAGCCACCCCATACTTCGCATTGTTCTTCACACTTTGGCATACCCATTACACATGCAAGCATTCATACACACACACACATATATATATGTATATACATGTGTATGTATGTATTCACACATGCATTGTATATGAGATACAAAAACAAAGATCTAGAACGTATATCCAAACCTCGTTCCATTTGGAGAAACCCCACGTACGTAATGTGAACGTTGAAGTAACTGAATGTCCAAAGTCACCAAAAAGTTGGTCCGAATTTGCATTCCCTTTTCAAAAGCAGTAGACGTCTCTCTCTCTCTCTCTCTCTCTCTCTCTCTCTCTCTGAGTTGCTGACAGAGAATTGAATGCTTTTCTTTCCACTATCACCACCAGCTTTTCTACTCCACTGTTATTTCCATTCGAAAACGAGAAATTCTACAGAAAGCTGGAATCACAATGGGAGAACGTTAGCCAAATTCCAATCGGTGACTTTTCTTTTAGCAAGATCCTCAAATGGGTCCCTCTCAAAGTTTCTCTTTTCACTTCGTGTAGCCAAACAAGGAGGATTCTGCTCAGAAGTCGGAAGTAGAGATAAAGAGCCTAAATCCAGAAGAATTTAGCCTACTTTGCCCTGGAAAATCGTGGGTTTCCGTCAAATTTCTCTCTTTTCTACTCGTACTTTGTAGTCAAGAACGAGAATAAATCAGCAGGAGCCGAAAGTGCAGAAGAAATCAGAGACATCAGCCGAGCAAATTCTTGGGTTTTTGTCAGAATTGCATCTTCTGCTTACAGAGACATGGTTTTCCGTCAATCCACTATCTCTCCGTCCTAAGAAGTAAGAACAAGCTTTCTTTTCGAAACAGAGACAGAGGAACAAATCCCAGGAGAAAGACATAGAATTCAAGCATCATCCATGGATGTTTCACATGCCCTGTCACTCGTCATTGTCTTGTTCTTTCTTTCGTGCCTGTCCCCTGTTCGGGGAAATGCCGAGCTGAGAGCTCTAATGGAGCTCAAATCATCGTTAGACCCAGAAAACAAGCTTCTCCAGACATGGACGCTTAACGGCGATCCTTGCGACGGTTCCTTCGTAGGAATTGCTTGCAACGAACACCGGAAAGTGGCCAACGTATCATTACAAGGGAAAGGACTCACCGGAAAACTATCTCCGGCGGTGGCGGAGCTGAAATGTTTGTCGGGTCTTTACTTGCATTACAACAGTCTCTGGGGAGAGATTCCCGAGGAGATCACGAATCTGACGGAGCTCTTGGATCTTTATCTCAACGTCAATAATTTCTCCGGCCAGATACCAGCTAAGATCGGCGCTATGACTAGTCTGCAAGGTTAGATTCTGACATGTTTCTTTCTAGAATTCTAAAAATCTCTGGCGATTGTGGTTTGATTGATCTTGGAAATGGAAACTACAAAGAGGGTTCTGAAGAATTTGATTTGATCTTGGAAACTGTTTAGAGAAGATCTGCAAAAATCCAGGATTAACCTTCATTCCTTGCTCTGTTTTTCAGACTTTGTAACATGCTGATTAAGTAAGATTCATGTTCTTGTTTGGTCTTTAACTAACCTTCTGTAAGGAATGTGTGTTCTTGACTCGACGAGTTGATAGCTGACTCAGTTGAAACGGACAAAACTCCTTCTCTTGCAGTTGTGGATCTCTGCTGCAACCAGTTGACAGGGAAAATACCCGAGCAGATGGGATCCTTGAAGAAGCTAACTGTACTGTCTCTGCAATACAACAATCTAACTGGCGAGATCCCTTCAAGTTTAGGGAACTTGGATATGTTAAGCAGGCTTGATGTGAGCTTCAACGACTTGCTTGGTCCCATCCCGAAAACCCTATCCGATATTCCTCAGCTCGATACTCTGGATTTACGCAACAATAGCCTCTCTGGCATTGTTCCACCTGGTGAGTGATTATCCAAAACGAAACTTCCTCAAAGTTGCGATCTTTCTCTTGTTTCTTGACTCGGGTCTCTTGATATGTTCCATATGTGAAGGTCTTAAGGAGCTGAGTGGAAGATTCCAGTTCGAGAACAACCCGGGTTTGTGCGGGACTGGTTTTCCTTCACTGAGAGCGTGTTCGGCTTTCGACAATGTGAATATCGAACAACTCAAGCAGCCTTCTCCACAGATTGGTTCAGACAAGTCCAGTTTGCAAGACATACCCAAAACAGTTTACTTCCATGGGCATTGCAACCAAACACGCTGCAAGAAATCGTCGAAACTTCCACAAGTAGTTCTGATTTCCAGCGTGATTACTGTCAGCATAACGTTGATCGGAACGGGTTTCTTGACCTTTTTACGCTACAGAAGAAGGAAACAGAAAATCAGTAACACGACTGAGGTTTCCGAGGGAAGGCTCAGCACAGATCTTCAGAAGGATATGTCAGTAAACGGGGCCTCACCTCTAACGGGCCTCGGGTATTCTAAAGAATGGGATCCACTTGGGGACAGCAGGATATTGTGAAGGGTAGTTGGATACTGCTCAGAAGAGTACAGGGAGTGGAGGCAAAAAGAAGGGTCCTGCACAGTTTAGAATCTACGCTCTAGATCGG